CTGAGTGCTGTTGCAGCACAGAAGGATGTTTCCATATGTGAGACTCATTTTGTGGCCACCCTGCCCAAAGTAATCTATCTCATGAGCTCCTGGTCCCTTGAGGGCCATTCCCTTGTGACAGCACTGAGCTGATTTCTGCTTCACCTTGTGTCTCTCTAGAATGCTCCACTTGGTTCCCCAGCCAGGGTTTGCTGCCATGGAGCAGGGCATGGGGCAGTGCTGAGCCCTCCCCGCTGGCAGGATACAGCCCACCAACAAGCCACTTCGGTTTGGAGTAGCCAAAATATGAGATCCCCCACTGAGTCCCTGAGCATCCCTGTTCCTGGCTATAAATCCCTTCCAAGGAGGAGTCTTCAGAGTGAGGGGCTGAAATGATCCACAAGCTGCAGCCACCCCCCCACCCCCTCCCCGAGAGGAATTGCTCTCACACAAATGAAATGTGTGTAATTAATGGGCAGGGGGCTGGACAGGTCTGAGATGAAAGCGTTTCCTGGACTTGTCCTTCATTTGCATGGTATCAGAAGCTGTTCAGAAGGTGTGACTTTTCCCACAGGGAGCCCTCAGTTCGGTGGCACAATAAAGCCAGAATTTCTTACCCAGAATTAATTAAAGGAGGGGGAGGGGGATGGCAGGGAAATGTTTGAAAGCTGAGCCTGATGCAATAAACAAACAGCCCAGTCGTCCTTCCCCAGCTAGAGCCTGCTTAAGGGAGCCTGGGCAAGCCCCAGCCCTGCTACAGCATCCTGCAGCCCACCCAGCTCAGCGGGCACCCATATCTAAGCAGACCTCGTGGAAAAGTTGTAAACTGAGAGGAGGGGTGGGAGCAGAGACAGCATGTGCCAAAATGTTTGGGGTTTGGTTGAAAAAGCAGGGGTGCAGCCCCTGCTCAGACAGCACATGCCCCTTTTCTTGCCACTTCAATTTGTTGCTGCCTACTCTGTTTATCTGCCATAGAATCACAGAATGGTTTGGATTGGAAGGGACTTTAAAGGTCTTCTAGTTCCAAGTGCCCTGCCACGGACAAGGATGCTTTGCACTAGATCCAATTGCTCACAGCCCCATCGAACCCAGCCTTGATCACTGCCAGGGATGGAGCACCCACAGCTTCTCTGCACAACCACAGCAGCATTTCATCTGAAAACAGCTCATTCTCCTGCCTGGTGCTGCCCTGGCATGTCCATCCCACATTTACTTCTTACCCTGTGTTAGCTGGCTGGACCAGATGTGCCTCCCCATGATCTGGCAAGGCAGAGTCTCCCAAACATTGCCCAGCTCCAGCCCTGTCACTGTGCCTGGGTGGCACCGGGTGGTGAAGCCCTGTCCAGGCAGGGACGGGCACACACCACTGCTTGGAGCTCAGGATGGGCCATCATCCCTGCTCCAACAGCCAGAGCAGCAAGGCTCCTCTCCTGCTTCATCTGCCACCTCGCTCCAGCCAGCTGGTGGCAGTGAGGGGCTGCAGGGTGACACTGGGAATGGTGGCATTAGCCACGGCACATGCCCACCACGATGACTTTGCTAGCTCAAAGCAGGGGCTTCTGCCCAAAACACCCCCGCTAACAGCACGAGTTAACAAAGTAAACACCCATCCCCAAAGCCCCTCATCCTCAGCCCTCTCCTGCATCCAGCCCCATCTCAGCACCCTGCAGTCCCCAGGGCCCTTGGATGGCTGTGATTCTCAAGCTCAGTTCACACACCTGCTGATGAAGAAGGAAAAAGGACAAGTCCCAGATTCCTGGGTTGATGATTGACCCTATGCATTCAAATAGCAGCCAGAGTTCCTGTAACTGTGGAGGAACACCAGGGACTGTCCCCACCTCCCTGCATGGGTAGTGGGAGCCACCAGCCCTGGGGACCATGTAGACATCACCTGCAGGGGCCAGGAAGAGCATGAGCTCCTCCAGACTTATCAAGGACTAAGTGGTATCAGTGCAGAGACAGGATATGAGGAACCATTAATTAATTAATTAATTCACTTACTCATTAACTTACTAGAATTGGGGTCTTTAATCTTCCAAGCAACGGTGAAACAACCTTTGTTGACTAGGAGCTAAAGTCAGACAAACTCAAACAATAAACAAGGTCTCAAGCTGTAGTGCTCCATGGCCACCCAAAAGCCCTTCAATGAAAAGTGGCTGACAAACCACAGACCAAGTGAGCTGGGGATGCCTTCCCAGAGGCCAGGCCTGGCTGCCTTTCACCGTGGTAGAAAAGACAGCAGGATTTGGGGGCTCGTGTGGTACAGAGCTGCGCAGGGCTACAGGAATGTCCATACCCACCTCAAACTCCAGGGTGCTGCCTGCTCACTGCTCCAGCTCTTGGCTGCATCCCCCGATGGCAGGGATGGGGGAACAGCCTTTATGGAGGCTGAGCACCCACAGCATGCCCTTCTCTGCCATAGCTGAGGCATTTGTAACAAGACAGGAGACATGGAGCCAGTCCTGTGCCTCTGCTACCTGTACCTGGGAGCAGGCACCTGGCACCAATTCACTCCTGTTCACAAAGCCATTAGGAAAAGCAGTTAGACAAATTAAAGGAAGAAAAGCAACCATTAAGGACTATCAAACACCATCTCTGCCTGGGGAAAGACCAGGAGCAATTCACTTTTAATTCCTGTTGTCTGTAAACCACAACAAAGTCTGCCCCCACTGTCATCCTCAAGCTTCAGCAGCCCTTGGGTCCCTCCTGGAGCAGACAGACAAAAGCAATCCATGCAGTCCTGTGGCTTAAGCAACATCCCTGATCTACCTCCATGATGCAGCAGCAATGCTCAGGTGCAGAGCAAGGCCAAGTGCTCAGCCCTTCTTTTCCCTCCTTGAAATTATTGACAAATACTGCCAGCTCAGCCCAGGCTCGGCCTCACCCACAGATCAGTCTCAGAATGAGCACGAAGTGATGCCACAGGCACCCCACCAGCGTTGCAGCACACCCAGGGCTGGCACCAGTGATGGTGAGATGCACCTTGCAGGGCTGCTGCACTTGTGCAGTTTAACTTATTTCACAGTTTTATTCTGGCACGCTTCCACACCTTAGAACCATTCCATATCTGAACCCCTGGTCAGCTCCTGTAAGCGAGACCCAGCACTGCAGCAGGGTTGAGTATTCTCTGAAGGAAGGGATGCAACAGCCCATTTTGCACAGCACACAAGCTCTTCTGGGAAACAGAGGAGCAAATACCAGCTTTCTCTTGGAAAGTTTCATCCTGTCCTTGAAAGCAGTGGCCAAGGCTCCATTGCACAGTGTCCCCGTTCAACCTGCAGTGGGCTTTGCTCCTGCCTGTCAAGAAGGTGGCATCTGCACATTAAATCTGGAATTTGCTGCAAGGAAAACCATGATTTCCATAAGACTTGGGGCAGTCTCCCACTTTCCATAGCTGTTCCCCTGGGAAAGAAGTTGCACCAAGCAGCAGCCTCAGCCCCATCCTGCACCTCACTGCCATCCTCTTTCATCCCTCTCCAGTATGTCTGTCCAGCCCCAGCCCCTCCCTGGAAAGCATCAGGCTCAGTTAGACTAATACAAACTTTTAATGCACATATTAAATAAATATTTCAATCATTTCATATTCAATTTGTACACAACTGAAACAAAACAAAAATCCTCAAGGTAACAGGAAAAACCTCAAACAATCAAAAAAGATTGGATGAAAAGTCACCCCTGGTTCTGGCTCCTATCCAGTGTCTTTGTTTGCCCTCCCTGTGAAGAATAATTGGTTTAACCCTTTGGAGAGAGTGTCACAGTCCCAGGGCAGCATGTGCAGAGCAGAGCTGGCTGAGGATGTTCACTAAAGAGATTAAATGTTTCCTTTGGTGTTTTTTTTTTTTTTCCTTCTAAATATAAAATTGGGCTTCTGTCAATACAGAAATTTTGAAAGAAACCCCCTCCCTTCCTGGGGAGGAGCAAAGGTGGCAGTATTTCTGGTCAAAGAAGAAACCTGTAAGAGATGGTTGGCAATGGAAGCACCAACTATTATGACAAGATACTGAATATCACAACAAAACAGCCTGAAATGGCTCCACAATAATTTGTAAACTTTGTTTAATTTTATGGATTAAAACTTGCATCTCATAAAAAAATATAGACAGAAAAAAATATCAGGTTTTGGTGAGAAGTTCACATTTTCCACATGGGGAAAAAATAATACCAGTTATCAGCCCGCTCCACAGCAGCTGTACCTTAGTACTTTAAAACAAACCAAATGCCAAGGATGCTCCCGTGGGTAAGAGGTACCAAGTCAGTTCAGGACTTTCTCTGGGGAATCCATCACCCCTGTCCCCTCCTGAGAAAAAAAGTAAGTTGAGAGTTGTGAAGCCAGCAGCATTCTCAGAAAGATGCAACTTCCAGCAACCCCTTGCTCAGCCAAAGAAGTAGGCACATCCAAGAAAGAAAGCATCCAGTGGTCCTCACCCCAGGTGTCACAGTCAGCCCCCATTGGCAGTGTCCCCACATGACCCAGGCTGCAAAAACCACCTAGGAGGCCTCCAACCACCTCCAAAATAAATCCTCTCCTCTTAGCTGTTTTCCAGCTTCTCCATCTTCTCCAGCAAGCATTGCATTAGTTCAGTTCATTTAAGTAGGACATTGCTTCCAGATTTGGATTTCTATGATTTTTTGTTTGTTTGAAACATGATTTTTAAACTCCTTTCCCCCTAGAGCTACAAAAAAAAAAAAAAAACCAACAAAATAAAGCACAACCCCAAATAGACTAGAACATTTCTAAGTGAAGGGCTCTTCTCCCTTCACCAGTCTTTGAATGTTTCATTACTTTTAAAGCTGGAGTACAAAAATAGAGCCTCTCTCATTTTTTTCCTATTTTTTTTCTTTTTGTAAAAACCAAACACCCCCCCAAAAGTACCAACAACTAGAGCAGGTAATTTTTTTTTATCCTCCCCCCCTCCCTTTTTTTTTTTTTGTTTTCTTTAATACCCATGTGGGAAAGTCTCTACATATAGTCCACCAAGCTCAGAGGAGCATCCTCCAGGAGAGATGCAGGCAGAGGAGGCAGGGGCAGGCACATCAAGGGCCCGCTCTGGAGCTGGAGTTTCTAGTCCTTTTACTTCTCCGGTTGAAGGGGTAGTTGAGGAACTCAAAGCGTCTGTGGGGCTCGGTGGTCTGGTGGCCCTTGGGAAGCCTCTTCATGAAATGCACCTCCCGCTGGTGCTGCCGGGTCTTGGAGCCCTTGCGGGGGCGGCCCTTGCGGGTGAAGGCCATGTACCAGCCCTCGTACTTGGCGTTCTGCAGCGCCGTGTAGTTGTTCTCCAGCACAATCTCCGTGAAGACGCAGTCCTTGCCTTTGCCGTTGCTCTGAGAAGGGGACAGGAGCAGGGATTTAAGTAAAGGGCACTCTCTCAGAGGGCTGCTTCTCACTGCCCCACCCTGCACTGACTGCCGGCGCAGCAGGGTTGCAGAGCTTGTGGGCAACCAAAGGCTCATTTCTGCCACAAGTCAGAATTGCCCGAAATGTGCTTTTCCTTAACAAGCTGCAGGGAGAAGGCAGTGTGACACAATACTGCTCATTGCTGCTTATGTACCCAGCCTTAACTTCCACCACATCCACAGGGGAACTTGTGCCTCCATCTGTGCCTGGATGTAACCATAAGCAAACTCTCCGTACCAATTCACCCACCCATCCTGTCCCCCGGGGTCTTTAATATAGGAGGGGTATCAAGGAGCATTGATTGGCAGGAGAAGTGACATGAGGACAGTGGTGGGGGGAGCGTGGAGTAGCCAGGAACTGAGCTCCCCCCATTATGGGCAGTAGCAGGACTAGAGAGGGACCCACATCGTGCAGCCCCCAGGAAGCAGCTGCAGTGGAAAATCCTTGCAGATAATCGCTGTTCTGGAGGGATTTTGCATGTCCAGCACCCCCCCCCCCCCCCCCCACCATGAGAAGGGGCATCAAGGCACAGAAGCTGCATGACAAACCAGCGGGTGGTGGGGTCTGGCCTTGGGGCCAGCCCCATGGAGCATCTTAACATTCCTGGCACTTGTACCATGTAATCGTGGAGAATAGACCAGCAATCCGCCTATTTGTTCGGAGAGATAGAAGGAATGTGCCACACACGGCACCCGCCCACCTCTCTTGCTCCCCCTCAGGCTGCAGGATGGCTTGTCCCCCTGCCCCTAAAAGGCAGAGCTCCTCTCCTGGCAGTCCCCACTCGAGTCCCCGGCAGTTCCCTGCCCTGCCATACCCTTGCACCCTACCTTGCCAATCAGCTTCCCCTTCTTGTTCATGCAGATGTAGAAACCTGTGGCTGCCCCCTTGATACGCACGCGGCTCCCAAAGGTGTCTGTCTCCACGATGAGCTTGGCTGGGGAGAGCAGCAGGGGGAGAGAGGGAGGAAGGTCAGAGGGGATGTGGGACAGGGCTGGCACAGGTATGGAGACCCCAGCAATGCACCCTGATGCTGGGCACTGCAGGCACATGATCTCTGGAAACTGGGCCAGAGAGCCCTAAAATCAGCACACGAGGTTAAGATACAGCCTGTCCCCCTCCCCCTTAACTTGCCCCTATGTCTCTGCATGACCTTGGACACGTCCCTTTGCCACCTTAAGCTGTGCTGGACAGGGAGTAGCTCTGTTTTACCCAGCTCCACAGGGCTCAGTGGTTCAGGTGTCACAGGGGTGTCCCAGACAGAGGCAGGGCAGTGAGCAGGGCACACGCTGGTTGGCAGATAAGAAGGCTCCTGCCCTGCAAACTGGGTGTGCCTGTGGGCAAGAACCAGGCAGGCACCTTCTGGAAGCACAGTGTGCTGCCAGCTGTCCCCAGCCCAGGGGACACTGCTCCGTGTCCCTCTGCCAGGCCAGGGCTGCAGGAGAAGCAGTGACTTTGCAGCTGGCAGGGGAGGCGTGAAGGGTACAGCCACCCTTTTAATGCCTTTCACCTTTGCACGAGTCGAGAGGGCATATTGATTTGGTCTCAGTTTTTTAATGGAGGCATCGATCGACTTCCGAAGGAGCTATGCAAATTGCTGGGTCGATGGGCCGCCTATAAATAGACCTGTCACCTTCCCTCCCTGCCTTCACCCTGGGAACCCAAGCCCCAAAGCCCATCCATTCCCAGGAAAGGGGGAGGATGGGGACAGGACGTCCTTCTTCCCACTCCTGCAGCTGCTGTCCCCCAGAGCAGCCCCGATGGGAATAGTGGCTACCTGTTTGCACCTCAAAAGGTCTGTGCTATGCCAAGCACCAAAGAATTCCCCACAATGCTAAAAAGCCAGCTGTGACTGTCCCATCAGCTCTTGTCCAGCATCAGCCCATAGTACTGTAAGTGCTATCCAACCAGGCATTTAGAGGACAGGCCACAAAGGTTCCAAGCCTACACTCTTATTATGGGCTTAAGTTCATTGATGCCTTATTTATCCCCTCCGATTCCTGCACAAGGGATATTCAGTTTCTCAGGACTGCAGCTGACTGCATGCAGCTCGCACATCTCTACCCCAGGATGCTCAGCCTCCAGCGAGCCCCAGCGAGGGCAGCGATGTGGCTCCGGAATGAGAGGCTCTGCAGAAGGATGAACAGCAGAAGGTAGGTGCACACACAAGTTAAACTGAGCCTAAATTACACTCTGGGCTAGGGGCAAATGGCCTTTCCATCTCTGCAGTGCCTTGCATCCCTTTTTATGACGGATGCTACTGAGGTCAATGGCACCAAGGGTGGGGACAACAAGCAGACAGAACTGGCAGCTGCTGAGCTGACCAATGGAAAAGTCATCCCCAAATTTTCTGGGGACAACTGATTTGGTGCTGTTAGACAGGCCAAGCTTGATGGGCATGCAGGCACCCCCCTCCTGTCAAAATCACCCTGCAGCATCTCTTGTCCCCAGGCTACCCTGCACTCACATCCCCCTACTCGTAGGCAGGCACAGATTGAACTCGGAGACAAGAAACTTGGGAAGAGCGAACTCCAGGCTGTGCTGATCAATGCCCAGAGCCTGACAAGCACCTAGCATCCCCAAAAACCACCCACGGGAGCGATGGCACTCTGCAAACAAAGCACTGAGACAGTGACCCCCTATTTATCTATATTGGGGAAAGGGGTGGAATTGATCTTGGAGGCAGTAAAAGGTTTGAGGAGAATTGATTTTTCTCTCTGAGAGATAGAAAGAGCTGGGAGGGAGGGAGGAAGGGAGGCATGAAGAGGGAAAGAGGGAGGGAGTGGGGAGGCCTTGGCCCCAGTGAGCACAAAACCCTGCTTTAAAGATGCACATTGCTTCTCTTTTGGACTTTTCTCCTTTTTTTTTTTTTTTTTCCCAAAGGGCAGCTGTGATTTACAGCTACCAGACGGGTTTGCTGCCCTGCACGAGTCCAGCCCATGTGTCACTCCAGATCTCTTATCCACAGAGGATGAAGACAACCTGGCCCCAGGGACTTGCACCCCTAGACCCTTGCAGGCAGCTCACGAACCTTCTAAACTCCAGCCCCAACCCACAGACAAAAACCAGCAAGAGGGCAGAGGGCTGTGCTGGTGTCTCCAACCACTCGTGGGGTCGAGTCCAAGCTGCAGCTGGCAGTGGTTTTCTTGGTGGCAGGCACAGCCTGGGAGGGACAAGCTGAGCTGCACCAGCCACCCGCCTTCCCTTAGAATTAAAAAAAGTCAATCAAATATTGACAATTAAGACAAATAACTGAAAACACCAGACTCGATGTTAAGTCGGCTGTAAAAATGTCAGCGTGGGGAAAGGGGTCATCTGCAAAAATAAATCAACCCCTTTTACACGCCCACCCCCAAAAATGAGACAAAAAAAAAAAAAAAAGCAGAAAGAAGGGCTTGGGGAGGGGGGATCTTTGCTACAAAAGTGGATTTCTAAATAACATTTGGGGGGATTCCTTTTTTTTTCCCCTTCCTCTTTTGGGGAGTGGGGGAGGCTTAACGTTTTCAACTCTATTCTTTCATTTAAGTGACAGATTTATCCCAGTAAAATTATGTTTCATGCTCAAACTTTGAAGGGAAAGTGGCTACGTAAATGCTGAAAAAATGCAGCGAGACACACTTGATCCCCCAACTGGACTGCGAAGAGGAGAAAGTATTCAGGAAATGTTAAAAAAGGTGAAAGTAAGAAGCGTTTTAATAGTTCTTCCAGACATGGGGGCCTCCCTAGAGATTCATACAGAACAATCCTGAACCTCTATTTTAACATTTACAGACTTGCAACTCTTTTAAAACTTTACATCTGAAAAACTGCTTGTTCTCTTTCTGGTTTAGATCAGTCTTCATTTTCCTCCTTAGCTCTTCAAATGCTTAACCTTTTTTTATTACATTTTAATAGAGTTTTTCAAGCCACCACCAGTCCCCTCCTTCTGGCCGTATTTAAACCTGGTTGTTATTTAAATATGCACTAACAGTTTTTTAAAATCCAGGCGTTAGAGGTCTAAAACAAGATGGGATTTTCTTTTTTTTGCTTCAGAAATTAGCTACTGCCCTTTCAAGTTAGAGCTGCTCCAGGATGGGAATAATTAATTTGCAAGATTAATTCTAGATGTATGAAACATCACATGTAACCTGCACTGTGCTTGTACTGATAATATCCAGCGTGGAATTTTCAGCCAAAGCAAAATGAAGAAATAGCTCTCAAAAACCAGAAAGGTAATGAAAAAAAAATTGTTTATACTAATCTACCCAAGGAAGAAAGGGAAATTGCAGATAATGCCAAAGAAAAACAGTTGTGATACCTATGTGCAACACACAGGAACACAGGCACTTCCCTGGGTGCAGGACCAGGCCTCCCACAGCCGGCCCCGCGGCCGTGCCGAGGCTCGCTGGCCCCACTGACCCCTGCGCTGCATTTGACCATCCCAGCATGTCAGTAGCTCACACGAGCAAAGTATTTGGGCCTCGAGAGTCCCCAGCAGAGGGACTGGACCGGTCCCCTTGCCCCAGAGAAAGTGGAGGTTTTAAGGAATGGGTGCCAGGGTGATGCAGAGAGGCCACGGCAGAGCGCAGGCTTTCACGCTTGCAGAGTCCCTGCTTTGTCTCTGGAGACACCGCAGCATCTTTGCCTGCGGCCGACTGCCTCGCTGACCCTTTGCTCATGATTTTTTTTTTGAGAAGGAAGGGATGGGATAGGAAAATGCCACTTTAGACAGTCCTAGATCAGGGAAGGCTTCCAAAGCAGTCATTCCCTTTCTCCTCCCCACCTCTTCTTTTTCAAATTTACTTTCCATTTCTGCTTCAAAAGAAAGTCTCAGGGATTCCCATCCCTGCAAAGACCCGGAATGAAATGTCTGATGATGCTCAGGATGCTGCACACCCAGCCCTCTGAGTCAGGTGCAAACCAAGAATTAAAAGGAAAGAAGCAGAGCCTATCCTTCAAGAACTGGTCCCCTCCCTTGGCACAGGGAACCCGCCCTTACCTTGAATCACACAGCTGCTGATTACTGACCCCTATGTTCTCCTTTTACAAGCCCCCACAAGCCGAACGATTTTAACGATTTCTGGCTAACAAACAGGACGGAAATCATCAATCGCCACGCTGGGCTGCGAACACCTCCCCAGCTCCCCCCTCGCCTGCCCACATCATGTGTCCTTACCGTGCACATCCCCATCCTCTGCCATCGCATTGATTTTCTTGTTGTCCAAGATCTGCACATGTTTCCCGCTGGTCCGGCTGTACAGCTGGTAGGTACGGACAAGCCGCCGGCTGAGCTGATCTGTCACCAGGCTCTGCTCCCTCACATGCTGTGTAAAATTAGGTGGGGACTGAACAGTTACCTTTAGGAAATTAAAAAATATACAACACACCATTATAATCTCTACTCCTCAGCGGGGCAAGCGGGCTGAGCTGAGATCGCTGGCCTCCAGCTGGGCTTTACGGGAGGCCGGGAGCCAGGACCGCGGCGGTGCCTCCTGTGCCATCAAAGCCTCTCCAGGAGAAGGAGCATTAAGCTCGGGGACACAGTGACCAGAGCCCTATACAGAGCTGTGCCCTCTCCAGACCCGCTCTGAACAGAGGTGCTGGTAGCTCAGGAGTAGAACAGGGCTTGGTAACCCCAGAGGCCCTTCCAGGACTCAGTGGGTCCTGACTGGGACTGGGGTACCTTGAGACGGGCATCAAGGCTGGAAGCTGGAGGGGATCAAGGTGGGACATACAGGATGGCACTTTGTTACCCTCTCAAGGGGCTGATGCTTTCATCCCACACCTCTCTAACCTCTGCAGGAGCATACTACTGCTCCAGCTGCCCCAGGCACACACCCCCAACAGTTTCAACAGCTGCCTGTCCTCCTCTGGGTCTCAGGCTCTCTATTATTATAATAAGTACCCCACTTACTAAGCTCTTCAAACACAAAGTTCACAGAGATGGTAGAATTATGAGGCATAAGAATTACAAGAAAACCATGCCCTAGTGCAGGTATTTAGTGGTATAACCACCCAAGGATACCAACACGCTCCCCATGCAAACATAGCTCTCATCCCCAGTCAGCTGTTTGCTGCCAGCACGGCGTCGTCCCCAGCCCCAGCACACCAAGCCCTTTAGTCCCGGAGCTGCAGCTGAGCCCATCCTCTTCAGACCCGACACTGCTGCTCCTGGGCTTTAAATGATTTTCATGAGCGGCCAAACCTGCTCCCCCCTCAGCCCAGGCTCACAAGCTGGCACAGAAGTCTTTTTCCCCCCTCGTCTCAAATCCCTCTTTTAAGTCTGGAAAGTTTCGCTGCTCCCTGACATTTATAAAGATGTATTCTGAGCAAATGTTAGGAGATCGCTCCTTTCAACATCAGAAGGCTGGGGCTACCCCCCACCACCCCCACGTCAAATGGGAAGATTTCCTCCTGTCTTAAACAACAACAGAAAACCACAATAAAAGCAAAAGCCGCTGCTCTCCCAAAGCCAGCTTTATAGAGATATCTCCCCTTGACAATGTCATCTCTCTCCCTCTGCTTCTGCCTGTGCATGTGTGTTTCCTATAGAAGGGTTTTGGATAATGCAGCAGGATTCTCTCCCCAGCTCTGATGAGGGTACCATGTGGAGAAGAGGTCATTAGCCATGCTGCTATTTGGTCTCCATCTCATACTCCAAAATATTACAGCTATGTTTTTATACAACTGCACAATCCCAGTGCTCCGTTCCGTTCAGTTTTCAGCTGGAAACTCCATTTTTTTTCCTCCCCCTGCAAGCTTCCAGGAAAATAACAATTTTTAAAAGTAGCTTAAAGGGCATTTTAAACAAAGCTTCTGCACCTGTAATCTCAGGGGGAAGGGGGGCTTCACCCCGGTTTGGAGGCTCACCGCTCCCAGCGACGCGTGCCTGCTGGTATGCGGGTGTTGCACAAGCTCTGCCCGGGATGTTTAATCTATTCATGTCACTTCTGTCTCTGCCGATACAAACCAGCGATGCTGAAGTCTGACACTTCTAAGATGAATCAAAACCTGCACTTTTTACTAAGGTTTTTGCAGGGTTTCTTTTCCTTTTTAAAATTCTGATTTACTTTTTTGGATGAAGCAATGTAGGGGGGAAAAAAAACGGAGCAGAGGGATGAGGGTATCCACAGCGTAATTAGGGGTCCCGGGAACGGGAATTAAAGCTGCTTTAAGATAACCCTGCGTATTTCCTTGAAATCCCGGTACTCTGCCTCACAGCCGTAGTCCCCCGCGCCTTATTTTGCGTCCCGTCCTCGGCTCCGGCTTTTTACACCCAGGCAACTTTTGTCTCCTGGGTTTTAAACTGCTCCTCTTCCCCGTCTCCCTTCCAGCCGAGCCGCTCGGCGGCGGCGGGGCACCCCCCGTCCCCGCGGGGCGAACAAAGCCGGGCAGCCCAGCGGGCACTTACCTGGGCTTGCAGGCAGAGGACGAACAAGTGCATTAACCTGGGAGGGGGAAAAGCGGGAGAGAGGTGTGAGCCGGGGGGGCTGCGGGCGCGGGGCGGGAGGGCTGTGGCTGCCGGTACTCACACGTAGCTGAAGAGCGAAGAGCAGGGGTCCATCGCGGCGCCGGTGCGGGGCCGGGGGCCCGACGGCGGTGCGGAGCGCCCGGGGGCGCGGCGCTGTCTCAGCTCCTCGGTTCCTCTCGCCCTGCCGGCACGTCCTCGCCCCAAAGAAAGGAGGGCACAAGCGGCTACAGAGGGGAAAGGCCCGGCGGCTCCACCGCCCGACCAGCCCCCGGGGCGCTCGGCCGGCGGCCCCTGCCGCGGGGAGCCCCCCGCCCCGCTGCCTCCGCAGAGGGCGAAGCCGACCCGCAACCCCGACGGCGGGGGCGGGCGCGGCCGGGGGGCGGCAGCCGCCACGGGGGAAGCCCGGCGGGACCCCGGCTCCCCTCCCGGTCCCGGCGGTACCTGCCGAAGCGAAGCGAGCAGCGGGCCAGGTGTCGCCGGGGCTTGGGGCTGCCGCTAAGGGCCGGGCTCCGCGGCCAGCGGTCGGCGGGACTCCCTCCCCACCTCGTGCCTCAGTTTCCCCATCCGTAAAACAGGGTTTAAGGGCTCGGAGGGTGGGTCGGGGACGCGGTTCCCCCCGCTGGGGGTTCGCCGCTCCGCGGGCGCGTTGTGGATTGGGAGCGGGCGGGCGAGCCCTCCCGGGACGTGCCAGACATTAAAAGGATTACCGGAGGAGGGGGATGGAGGGGGCCGGAGTTTCGAGAAGGAGTGAGGCTGAGCAAATTCCGCAACCGTGGTGGGGAGCGGGACACCCCCGATTTCTTCGCGAGCATCCCCGCCGGGGCTTACCTTGTAGAGCGGGCGGGCGCCCTCAGGGCCGGCGCTGCGGGGCCATGGGGCCGGGCGGCGGCGGGACGGGGCTCAGCCCCGCAGCCCGGGCAGGGCCGCCGAGGGCTGCATTGTTCCGGCGAGCCCCGGCCCTCCCGGCCCCGCCACCTGTTGCGCACCGGGGCGGGGGCTGCGGCGGGGCTGCGGCGGGCGGCCCCCGGGGCCGGTACCTGGCCGGGGCCGGCGCCGCCTGCTCGGCGCTGAGTGACAGCTGCTAATTTGCCGGCCGTGCCCCGCTGCCGGTCCCCGCGCTCCCCGCGCCCTCCTTTATCTTATCAGAGCCCATAATTACAATTGCTATTTTGCTTCCTCGAATCAGCAATCAGCGCTATCTGCCGCCGCTGGAGAGGCAGCTCCTGTCAGCCGCCCCTGAGTGACAGCGCGGCGGCTGCCCCGCCGCACAAGCACAGCCACACTCACACACGCGTGCACGGCCCGCCCGCACACACACACAGCCCCGCACACGCCTGTGCAGCCCTCCTGCACACGCACATCCATGCAGGCATCCCTCACACACGCAGGCTGCACACAGTCCCTTTCTCACACACACAGCTGGCACATCCGTGCAGCATTTCCCATCAGGTCCCCTCCTTCTCACTTGCACCCCTCACACACTCTGCACACTCCAGCACAGCTTTTCACACTTTGCTTTGCTTACCCCTACCCGCAAAACACAACCCTCTGCCTCACACACAATCACACCAGCTGCAGCTGCAGGACAGGTCTCTCTCTCACATGCACACTGACACCCAGCCTGTGCACTTCCCTCCTTGCTCAGGCACCCAACAGCCCTGGACACAAGTGCACCAACACCTTTCCCCACCACACAATGTCTCACCCCAAAACTCTGCCTACTGGCACTTCTGGGGATGGATCTCCCAGAGTTCTCACCTGATCTTGCTCAGCATCTTTCACTGCTGAGGGGTGCTGCAGGCAGGAAGGAGAGCCTGGGCACTGCCCCGTCACACTGACCCCACAGGGCCCAAGGCGAAAACAGTCCCTGCATCAGTATTAACAAACCCAGAACAGGATGAGCAACTGCCTTGTGCTGGCCAAAATTATCCCAAAATTCAGTTAATTGTTCATTTTCCTTCCCTTTTTTTTTTTTTTTCCTGGTACAAAAAGATGTTTCTAAGGGGGTTTCCAATGTGTAGGAAGAAGTCTTGGGCCAAGCCTGCATTTAACGGGAAGCGTTTAGGGGGACCATAGGAACAGGCAGGATAAGCACTGAAGATGCTTGGCAGAAGCAGGAGCTGGTTTCCTAGGGCACGCCACACTCACACACTCAGTTCATCAGTACAGCACATGGTCAGGAGAAAAACCCTCCAGGTTGAGCTGTGTGAACAGTTGATATACCCCAGCACAGGTAAGGTGGTTCCTCCTATTCATCTCTCTGTACTGCCTAAGGAAAACCAGGCAAAATCAGAGCAGGAAACACTAGACACTCCTGATGCTCTAAATTCAGGCAATCCATACTTTTTTACATATAAAAAAATCAAGGAATTCAGTCTATTTCCCAGATGCTGCTCTCCTTCACCAGTGACCACCTTTACTTTATCCCTGCTGGGCACGGGGTCAGGCAGGCACATGTCACCGTGTACACTGCAGTCTACTCAATAGCACCATTTCCAGAACAGCCCAGACTGCCTTAAATTGGGAGATTTACGGTGTCCTGTATGGGGTCAGAGGCAGCTGCAAGCTGACAGTCCCGTGTGCCCCCTGCCCTCAGCAAACAGGCTCAAGTGCCAGTCATGGCTGTAAAATCAAGCCAGTGTGGGATCACGCAGGGGTGGCCACACTTTGCCTGACAGGGGATGACAGACGATGCTCCTGTCAGCCATCCTCAGGCCTACAGCCAAAGCCTCCACAGCCCCCATCCTACCCCACCTTTGGGAAGGGAAAAGGAATGAGCAGGTCTGTGACAGCAGCCAGGGACAGGCAGCATCACAGCTGCTGGGTTCACCCCACCTCTGCTGCATGCCTTGGATCATCTGCTCCTTGCAGGGAAGATGGGGGTCTGCACAGAGGCATTTGCCTTCTTCCCTTGGTGCTTCCCAGCCCACCTGTGTTTGCAACAAGAGTGACACCCCCCACCCACTTTTGTTTTTAAGTAAAAAACATTTTTGGCTAGGCTCTCGCCCATGCCAGGCAGAACAAGGGAAATTTGCCTGCCTGTCAGCTCCTTCACAGGCCATCTGAGATAAGCCCCCTGGTCCAAAGGGTGAGGGTCCCCTCCATCCCCTGGCACTGAGGCTAAATGGCTTGTCTGGCTCTCCTGGGGAGAAAAGAAACTCCAGCCCTGTGCTCCTGAGACCAGCTGGGCCTCAAGCCAAACTGCTGTGGAGATGGTGGAAGAAAGCCCAGTGTGGCAAAAAGACCTGGGGACCTGCTGTTCCCCCAGCACAACAAACAGCCATTGGGCTGTGACCCCTGGAAGAAGCTTACCAGCATGGTCCCATCAGATCTTGTCCTGCTGTCCCACTGCTCTGTTGCCCCAGTCTGCAGAACTGGGACCATATTTAGACTGGTCAGATACAGAAGGGTTTTCCTTCAGAGAAGAGCTCATGTTCATGTTCATCAGGGACATTAAACACTGCAGATGAATCATTAGCAGCAGAGATGTGAGCTGCAGCCTTCCCATCCCCTCTCCCACAAAGCTGAGGGTACCAAGGTGCAGCTACAGGGCTACAATACCAAGAAGCAGGAGCTGAGAGAGGAACCAGGACATAGAGGCATCAGTCCCAGCCTGGCTGGGGTCCAGGCTTGGTCTCAAACTTTGCCCACCTCCTTCACCCCACACAGAACCTCCTGGCAACTGGGGAGTGTGGAGGCAGCTCCTGGAGCAGCCTAGATTGAGATAAGACAGGAAGCAGATCAGGAGAGGATTCGAGTTGGAAGGAGCAGCAGGTGAGGGACTGTGAAACTCTGGGAGGGGTCTGTGCCTCTCTGTACAGCAGAGACTGGGGAGGGTGCAGCAGATGCTAAAGGAAGCTCTTCCCATTCCCCTCGTGATGCTCAGCACGACACCCCCAAAACCCAGGGCCACCCCAGCACAATCCCTTCTCTCTTTCAGGATCTCCCTTAGCACATCTGCAGGACAGAGCCAGATTCCAACTTCCTGCCTGCTTCTTTATCATCCCTGTCTAGCCCAGTTTTAGCCAGAAATAGTCCACATACACCACTTTCCTTGTGCAGCATGACAAACAGTGGTGCCAGCTCCTGCTCCCCACAAGAGATCAAAGCCAGCAAAGAGCATCAGCCTGAAACCTCTCCACTAGCATCCCTTCTTTCAGAAAGGCAGAGACAAGGAAAACAACACCAACCACAGCTTTAGGGGCAAGCAGTCCAAACTGGGCTGAATGGAGACAAGGGCTTCTAGCAAACTGGGAGCTCATATTAGAAGAGGAGTCTAGGAGAATTTGGAGTGAGGGGAGGCCTGCAAAACACCCACAAGAGTTTTGCCTTGAATACCTCTTTCAGGGGGAACTACCACTGGATAGTTTCAGGAGAAACCATCAGGTGGAGAAGCAACCAGGACGTTGCTGCCACTCACAGAGAGAGGCCAACAGGCAGAGTTCCCTGCTCCTGCCAGGCAGGGACACAGACAGGGCCACAGCGCTAATCCCAGCTGATGGAGGAGAGCAGTACCTGCAGCAGCAGCACACAGCAGCACTGAGCCGGCCAGAGGCCGGGGAGAGCTCCTCTCTGCAGGTGCAGAGGGCTCAGACAGTCTGCAGAGCAGTTGCCTGGCAGACAGTGTAGGCAGTAGGGTTGAGGGTTAGCCAAAGGCTGGGCACACAAAGGTGAGGACACAAGTGCAGAAAGCACTGCCCAACACCTGAGCATCTCTCTCTGCTCCAATACCATTATGAAAAAGAGCAAAAATGCACAAACCCCAGCATCCTGTAATGTTTTACAGCCATGCCTGGAGGATGTTTGGCTATAAAACAACTTTTTCCACCCCAAAATAAAGACATGGAGGTTTCCCAGCAAATCAAGAGGGATACTAGCCCACTCCACCCTCACCCTTCCCAGCCCCGTGGCCCAGTGCCCCCAGCCCTGCCTGCTGATCCTTCACTGTGGCTTTAATGGGGCGTTTCAGAGGCAACAGCAGCTCCTCCATGGCTGAGCAGCACAGAGCAGCCCGGGGCAATCCCACTGCTCACCATTAACCTGCCCCCACCCCCCAAAGGGAAGGAACTTGGCGAAACCCCATTGGGATGTGT